GTGGCTTATTTTCAACACCTCAAATATTTTCTAAACCTCAAAGTTTAGGCGTGTATAAACTGGTGTACAAGGACAAACAATTCCCATTACAATGCACCACGTAACAATTTTCACAACTTGGACATCCTCTAAACATATATTAATTGTCCATATAGAGATTTGTAATTGCAAAAATTTCGTTACTTTACCAAAGCTAGAATCTTACAAATATCTGAAAAGTACATGGAGGGAATACATACACAAAGTAGATTAACAATATGAGGGTTTGCCAAAAATTATAAAAAATAAAAACAAACAAGAGTAAATAAAAATTGTTAAAACTAAAATTAATTAAATTGGTAATCAAAGTAAAAACTTTTCTCGGCAACGACGCCAATAACTTGTTCACTTAAAGTGCATGCCGCAAATGCACGAGTCTTGTTCAAGTAATAAAGTATACTTTTTGAATCCGGATTGTCAATCCCTCGAAGAATGTTTACTTTAGATTATACAACTTTAATTAATTTAATTCTAACAATAAAAACGAACACACAATAAAATTAGATTTGGAATATAAGAAAAAATTAATTAAAAATCTACAAAATAAGAAAATATATAAATCTTGGGAATTTCGGAGGAAAACGTGGTTGGGATTCATGATTATGCTTAACCGTCACCTGATTAATTTCTCTACTAGCCAATTAATAAATTACTCATTTACGATGTTAGATCCGATTTTCCAATTTTGGTTAATTATCTCTCTCGAGCGAAATTAATCCTAATTGATTAGTTTAATTTACTATAGTTTTATATCAATTAAAACCAAACAATCGCATTAGATCTTTGTGAAAATAGCTTATTAGGTCACCTAGGGTTAGGGTACATCTCTATCCCCTACACAAATATAGGATTTTTACTATTTAGTCTAAAATGCACAATCTTCTCTCGAACGATGTATAAACTACTAAATATAATCATTCATTGGCCATGTAAATGAAAATGATTGAATAACAATAGTAAAAACACATGAAAATAAATAACTTAACATCAAATAGCAAATATTAAAATTAATTAAAGCTAGGTTAAGCTAATACCATAAATCACAACACAAATAACTTAGCCTATGTTATATAAATAATAGAAATGAGAATATTTTATACAATACATTGCATGTTTGACTAAATAATAGGAAAAAATACAAGGTTAGAAACCTCCCTTTTGTTGGATTTTTTAAGATGAAAATTCCTTGCTTTTGATTTCTCCCATCGTTCCCCAAAATCCAAGAAAAATGAAAGAGAAAAAGAAAGAAAAAGAAAAGAAAAATAAAGAAGAGAAGAGAAGAACAACGGTTAAAAATGGTGTCTATAAAGTGTGAAAATCGTCCCAGCCAAATTGCAAGAAGAAGCCATAAAGAAATTAAAATGTGCGCACTGGTATTCAAACTAAGGCACCCCTAGTACAAAATGAGGCTCGCACCTTAGTCCTTCGGTTGCTCTCAGTTGTCCAAAATTGGAGCTAATGCATGTGCCTTAGCTGTAGGGTTAGGTGTGCGCCTTACCTTTCATTTTCCTTCTCTTCAGTTTGTTTCCCCAAAGAATTGCAAGCCTGACCCTCGAACTTCGATTGTATCCAATTTTGTCCTTAAATATTGAATTTCTTTTCAATCAGGTCCTTCATAATTTACCACTCAGGTCCTTGAACTTTTTGAGTTGTACTTTGGTCCTCAATTTCACAATTTTGTATGATTTTGGTCCTTTTTTCCTCAATTTGCCTTGTTCTCATTCCATGGGTGATTTTTGGTCTACAAAAGCAAATGTTACTTAATTGTGAATAGAATTCTACTCATTCCATCAACAATAATTATATTTAAATATTAAATAAGTGTGTAAAAACACACTTATAAAGCGTCACCAAGACTGGATGTAGGATCACAAATTGTGATCTGAACTAGGATAAATTCTGTGTCTTCTTCTTCTTTGATATTTATTGATTTATTTCCTATCTACTCTAACAGAAACAGTTGTAATACCGCGTCCATTTGATCTTGTCTGTTCCCCAATGCACTTCAGATAAACGCCACAAAATATCCCAATAGCATGCTGCCAGCATTGAAGTGAAGGTGATCCACGTTAAATTTTCCCTGTAGTGTTATTTTTAATCAGGGCTGGACCTGATGAGAGGCTCAAGAGGCCTCCGCCTCAGGCCCAGATTTTTAGGGGGCCCAAAATTTTTCCCTTTCATTTTTTTTTTAATTCTTCTTTTTAATAGAGATGGGAGTCGAGAGACCAGACCTGGAGAGTGGAGACCGCCACTTACCCTGCGTCCCTACAAGATTCAAAAATCAAAACCCTTCTAAAAGAGGAAAGTGCAAAGGCAGGAGCAACCGGCCGGCGCCCGACGGCTACAGGCATGAGGCACGACTGACGGCTCTCTTCTCGCCAATGATTTCAGAAAATCAACAACCCTTAACCAGTTAACCCTTTCTGCAGTGCCGGCAGTTACTTGTAATTATATAATTTATTTCACATTGAGATTTGTGACTTTGCCTGTGCAGCTGTGATATGATCCAAGAGTCGAGCCCGACGAAGGCAAGTGCGAGACAAGACCCGTTGATAGTCGATGGCGGATCAATGACGCGATCAAGGGCAAAGCAAGTGAAACAAGCGATGGGATTGCTCGTTCAAGAAACCATTGATGGAACCATGTTCGGGACTCAAAATGGAGCAACTTTCATGTTCGGGTCGAAGACCGAATCATCTTGAATCAATTTGTTATCAAGCGACGAAAGCGGAGGCTAAAGACAACACCATGCGGCCGCACAGGCAAAACCATATCCGGCCACACACATGCATACCGAAAACTAAAAGTGCAATTTCAATTGAACCATGCGGCCGCACAGGCCAAAAATTTGGCAAATTTTTCAATTTTGGCAATTTTCCATATTTTGTTAGATTTTGATTCTTTTCCATATTTTGGAGATTATACTCGACTTTTGCACGATTTTTACCTAGTTTTTAAGTTTAGTATAAATAGGAATTTCCATTCAATTGTTAAAAAAAACCTTTGACATTATTGATATTGAATTAAAAGTGAGACGTATTGTCTTCTCATCATCGTTCTTCATTGAACAATTTCGAACTTATCAAGTGTTAACTTGTGGCGTTCAAACAACCGGATTTAATCCTTGGATTGCGTGATCAAAGGGTCTTTCAAGCATCGTTCTTGTTGGGTTTTTTGGTTCGACTTTCTTTTGGATTAATCCTAAACTCTTGGATTAATTTGGCTTTCTTGGATTCGTCAATCTCATTGTGGGTTTCATAGTCAACTTTGCTACGGAGTTCGCATCAGGCTGTGCCTATGCTTGCGCTTGCTGAAACAACTCTTTTTTATTTTCTCATCTTCATCAATTCATATGAGTAATGCTATTATGCATTTATGCTATGCATTAAGAGAAAATGAAGCTTATAAGTAAATTATAAGCTTAGCCAAACATGCTCATATGCTCTTTTGTTTCAACTGAACCTTTAGGCTTTAGTTTCTGCTTTCGCGTTCCTTTCCTCGTAGGCCGCTGGCTGTGAATTGTGATAGACTGATAGTGTGATGATAAGTTTGTTGAATTGGGTCGGGTATGGAGAACTGGAGAAGCCCTGACTCGTATTTTGGTGGGGCAAATTTAGATGGCATGATTTGCAACTGAATTTCCCATATTTGGGAAGGGTAGAAATGTAGAATTTCTTGCCTCATTCCATTTTCAAAGGGGCCTGTTTTCCCCACATCCACTCATTCAAAGTCCAAAAGATTAATTAACTAATCAAGAATAAGGACATGATTAGACATCAGAAATTAACAGTTTGCTTTAATTTTTCTATTCTTATTTTGTTTAGTAGCTTGAGAATGATATTGTTTAACAATATTTATTTAGTCAAGTAGGATTTTCTAAGGAAAATGCTTCTTCCATTGAACTTGTTAGGGATTTGCTATTTTAATTTTAAATATTACTTATCTGTGTAGATTTATTTCTTCTTCACAAATTGTAATAAATCTGAATTTTTAGTCGAACTCTAGTTTAATAATCACATTAGACAATATTAATGTACTAATATTTTTGGACCACTTTGGGATCCTTGCAGATTATTGATAGTTGTTGAGTGACTTGAATCAAATACCATGGCTCCTAAATATGTATCTGGAGCTCAAAAAAAGAAAAAGAGAGAAAGAGTAAAGGCATTAATTCGAAGCCAGACTAGAGATATGGAGAAGTACCTTAATAACAAGAAACAAAAAGAGAAGGAAGGAACGCCAAAAAATTTATTGATTGAGGAACAACAGAATCAGAATGATAATGACAATGTGGATGAACGGAAAGAGAACGAGGAAATGATTGAACCTGCCAATGTGGATGAATCGAAGCAAAATGAGGCAGATAATATTCAACATGAAGATTTAAATCAAGAGAATTGTTTTCTTTGAAGATCCCGAAAATTGGAAGGACATCCACATTGATCAAAAGATGAGGGACTTTTTAGTTGAAATAGGTCCAAAAAGAGTTGATAGCATCTTGTTTCCCAAAGATAGTCAAGGTAGACATTTTGAATCGTCACACTATAAGCGGCTACTTACAAATGGGCAGATAACTGATAGAAGATGGTTAGTGTATTCCATTTCTTTAGACAAGATATTTTGTTTTTGCTGCAAGTTGTTTAAAATAGAAAGAACGATGAAAAGTATTGGTCAATTGGGTAACGAGGGATATAAAGATTGGCATAATATGCATTGTCGCCTTACAAATCATGAAGTGTCTAAGGAGCATATAGGCTGCATGACTAGTTGGATGGAACTAGAAAATAGGCTCCAAACAAAGCATACAATTGGCCATCAACAAAGAAAGAGAGCATTGGAGACAAGTACTAACGAGGATAATTGCTATTGTTAAACGACTTGCTAAAAATACTTTGGCATTTCGCGGAGATTGTGAACAACTTTACGTGGAGAACAATGGACTTTTTTTGCAAATGATAGAAATGGTTGCTGAATTTGATCCAATAATAAGAGAACACATTCGACGTGCTCAAGCACGTGAGATTCAATATACATATCTTGGTCCTAAAATTCAAAATGAATTGATACAAACTTTGGCAGGCGAGGTGAGAAGTGCAATTGTCACAAAAGTAAAACATGCAAAATATTTTTCTGTCATACTTGATTGTACTCCAGATGCGAGTCATGAGGAGCAAATGTCTCTAGTAATACGATGTGTGGATGAATCAATGGACTCTTCGATGGTACAAGAATATTGGATTGAATTTTTGAAAGTGGACGATACATCAGGACTGGGACTTTTCACTGAACTTACAAATGTGTTAATGAATCTTGAGCTTGATGTTGACAATATAAGAGGTCAAGGGTATGATAATGAAGCTAACATGAGTGGGAGACATAAAGGTGTACAAAAAAGGTTACTTGAAATAAATCCTAGAGCTTTCTATACTCCATGTGGTTGTCATAGCCTGAATCTAGCATTATGTGACATGGCAAATTGTTGTTCTAAAGCTATGTCCTTCTTTGGAGTGATACAACGCATCTATATAGTGTTCTCTTCTTCTCCCAAACGATGAAAAAATTTTAAAGATAAGGTTAAAGGTCTAACACTTAAGCCATTGTCCAAACACGTTGGGAAAGTCATGTGGAAAGTGTCAAACCTATAAAAGAGCAATCTGTACAAATAAGAGACGCTTTACTTGACTTGGCAAACATTGCTGAAGATCCTAAAACAAAGAGTAAAGCTGAGTCATTAGCAACATATGAACTTGAAAATTTTGAGTTCTTACTTGATATGGTCATTTGGTATAAGTTGTTGCATGCTTTCAATATTGTGAGTAAATTTTTTCAAGCAGAAAATATGGATATTGATGAGGCCATCAAGCTTTTAGAAGCACTTATTTTGTTTCTCGAAAATTATAGAGAATCTGAATTTGCCAATGCCATGGATGAAGCTAAACAAATAGCAGTTGAAATGGGAATTGAAGTTGTTTTTCGAGAGAAATGTAATATTCGAAGAAAGATGCAGTTTGATGAAAGTGGCAGTGAAGAGGTAACACTATCAGCTGAAGAATCTTTTCGAGTTGATTATTTTCTCTTTATAATTGACCAAGCTCGATCTTCACTTCAAACTCAATTTGAACAATTTAAACATTATGAAGAGACATTTGGATTTTTGTTTAATTCGAAGAGATTAATGAGTATGGATGTTAACAGTTTGTTGAAATCTTGTAAGAATCTTGAGCAGTTTTTGAGCCATAATGGACATTCAGAAATTATTGATGATGACTTATGTACGGAGTTGTTAGTTTTGAAGTGCTATCTACCTGGAGAAACAAAAAAAGCAATTGATGTGCTAAATTACTTGAAGAAAATGAATGGTTGTTTTCCGAATGCTTACATTCCTTACAAGATTTTGCTTACTATACCGGTTACAGTTGCATCAGTAGAAAGAAGTTTCTCCAAATTGAAATTGATCAAGACTTATCTTCGATTAACCATGTCACAGCAAAGATTGAATGGATTAGCTATGTTGTCCATTTAAAATGAAATGGTTGAACAACTCGACTATACAAAATTGATTGATATTTTTGCCTCAAAAACCGCAAGACGAGTTGTATTTAAGTGATGGTTTAGAACATTTTCTATTTGATTATAATATAAATATTTTGAATTTCATTTTTATTTGTTGCTTTATTATGGATTTTATGTTAAAATTTTAGTTCCTTAAAACTCTTATAAATAATATGAAAAAAAAAATCATTGTTTGCTATGAAGTAGGGGCCCAAATGCTGAATCTCGCCTCAGGCCCCGCGAAACACAAATACGACACTGTTTTTGATGTTGATTTGTTCCATAACTTCCTGTGAGAGAATGTACTTTATTACATATGGAAGTACAAAGAAACAATGAACAGAAGAGCAGTTTTCTTCTTCTAAAAAATCTCAGTATTTATTTCTATTTTTTTAGAAGTTTCCCACCAAAATTAGTTTCTCGTATTGATTGGTAGATATATTTTAAATATTTTCAGCTTTCTTTTTCTTAAAAAATTATGGATAATGAAATTCAATAATAGATTCCACATATACTGTAGGAAAGATGGTACCTGAAGCAATTCATATTTTAAAAAACTTCAAAGGAGGGGAAATTCCACTTCTGAGTAGTTTGTGGTTAATTTATTTTATAAATACCGATAACTAAATAATTATATCATTGGACTTGATTTCGTGCAAAATAGGCCTGTCCATAGAAGATTTAGCAAAAAAAAAAGGAGGGAGGAAAAAAAACCCTTATTATAGTAAACGAGTACCTTACTCTTTTTGGTCGACGGAAGGATTACTTCTTTGTAATTACTGATCTCTTTTACAGATAAAGATGAATATCTATTGGTGTTTGATGATCCTGTCTATAAATTTATGAGTTCAAAATGTTTTTGTAAAAGCTATCAAACACTAATCAACTTAAGTGCTTGTTTGGCTCCCTTTAAAGTTCTGAATTGTTTGTTAAGTATCATTTTTCACCACACATTTATATTTTGCAAATATAGATTTCTTGGGCTTTTTATTGGCTTGGAATTGCTAGGATTTGATTTTCCATAGACCATTATTTTGATCTGTCTTGTAACTTACAAAAAATAAAAAATAAAAAAAAATAAAAAACTATGAGATTTTCGTGTTGGATTAGCATGTTTAGGGAATTTTTAACGCTTTATAACTTTGTTTAATGCTTATAGGTGTATCGTAAGTGCTCAAAAGAATTGAACATTGTAATTCTTCCACATACTTTACCTTCTATATTTTACGGGGAACATTTCATGCATCGTTCTTAGGCCATCTCCAGCGTTGCACCAAAATTTGCACAATTTTGCACCAAATCATGCACTAAACCAAAATTCATCTCCAATTATTGCACCAAATGAATAATATTTTATTATTTTATTCACTCTTTCGATTTTTGACAATGTATTCATTTAAAAAATTATTTATTTTATAACTATATAAATTATTAAATCATAACTTCGTTAAATTAACAAATATATTAAATTATTATTGATTACTAAATTATTCACATGTTTTAAATATTATGTTAAATTGACGAAAATAATTGATTATATTATTAGTTTATTATAAACAATTACGTTAAATTTATAAAAATAATTAAAAAATCCTTAATTATTATTAATTATATTATTAAAAATAATAAAATTTAATAATAATAATAATAATAATAATA